GTCTTGCTTGAGCTCTATGGGTCCGGAGAGCTATGACGATAGCGATGCTCTGAACGATAGCGTGTACAACCCACTCGAAGCACTCAACGCATGCATCGTATGCCTCTTTCCCTAATTTACTAATAGTTCCAAGAATTTGTGGTGTTATTTATCCTCATTAGACATGCGGAGTACATTGCCATCGGATATGCGCTGGACCACCATGGTCCACCTACACCCCTGAGGATGAAGGCGACGAGGAAAAATGGCAATGCGAGGACTGCAGGTGATATTCACGTAAGATTAACCCATTGCGTACCGCGGCGTTTTCGCGAAAACCGACGCCTGTGGCCGACGCCTTTTTATCGACGCGACTCGTGGCGCGCCGAGTATAAACAAATGTGATTTATGTCATATACATATGATATAAAAATACTGTATATACTTCGTATAATACATTACTTTTATATCCATGAATATGAAAACTGGAATTGAATACAATCAAGCGATAAAAGTGACGAGCCAAAAAATGCGACAGTAGCCAGATAGATTGATAAATTCAAGGAGTGTTGGAAACTTGATGCAATACGTTCATAAATTGTTCGGTTTTACTATTTTACAAGTTTTTAGTCTATCACAACCAGAGCTTTACTGATTACTAAGAAATAAACAAAGGATATAGTAGCTGGATAATTTCCCGTAAATATGTCATAGATCGTGCGATGCTAAGTAAGTTTAAACGAGACGTGCTGGTACAGCACGCGGCCGTACAGGGGCAAACGAGCGTGATGCACGTGGTGCACGCGGTGCGCAATGGGTTAATCTGGGTAACAGTTTGGTTCTTCAACGCTTTCACTTTACAGGGAAATCTCTCCACCTTCAACACATAGCAGTGTAAGCGCAAATGAGGCGCGTTCTATTCCAAGTACTCCAGCTGAAGAGGTCCCAGTGAGAGTGAACAGTGCTCGCAATAACAGAAGAGAATGTAAGTCAATTGCTGGCTGTACAGAATATTTTACATTTTACGGTTTTTCCTTTCTGTATAGTAGCAAGGCACATATTTTAATCACTGTTCTGAGTTGCTTGATCTGATCATTTTAGCTGCTGCCAATAGGGGCTCTTCCGAAAACATGGATTCGAAACCGGCTGAAGGTGAGCCTTTTCGGATTTGAATAGGTTGTTCTGTAGAAGTGAGATTATGAACTTTTAACTATTGTTGTATTATTACAGAGCAAAACAAACAAATATCCAATAGCGTGAAAAGAAGCGGAAAGGTTTGTTGCAGGTTTATGCAGTCCCTCCCCCCTCGTAGATCATTGATAGTTCTTTTTAAGAAGCGAGCTCGTGGTAGCATCAACGAAAACTCAACAGCTAATGGGCCGTTGAAGAAACAACCACTCCTCAGAAGATGGTTCGTTTTTTCCTTTTGCTCAATACCATATGTACTTTTTGTATCATTTAGGCTCACTCCCATCAACGACCATGATTTGCACTGAGAATACTGCCTTGTAGCAATGTTGTTCGTTAGACAGTTTTTCGGACTTAGGCATTGTTCACAGTCTGCGGTCCAGCGTTTCTCTGGAACGCGGCGGTTCGGCGAAAAGCTTTCGATACGTATCGACTGGCGGTTGGGCGAAGAGTCTGGCGGTTGGGCGAAAGGGTTTTGATACGAATCGACGGGCGTTTCGCCAAACCGCGACGTTTTTCGCCTTCGACGAAACGCTAGCTCGATCGCCCTGGCGTTTTTCGCCAGCGAAATCGATACGCATCTATTGCTTTTCGCCCAACCGCCGTTTCGTCAGGGTCGCAGACTTGAACAAGGCCTTATGCACATTCCAAAGATTAAAGCATATTACTCTACAATTAGTCATGTAGACATGTCTGTGTAGTTTGCATTTGTAGTGTTCTGAGTTAAAAGTTTCCAATTAAATTGTCTGTATAAAGTCGTAAGTTATTTTTTCCCCTCCTTATGTAGTACTTGTGCCGATATTCTCCGAGACATGGTTGAGTAATCGGCAGCCCACTGTCTCAAGAAGAATGAGCGTTCTTAGGGTTGTACCTTATAAAGGTGGACGGACGCCGATAGCAGAGCATGCGCGTAAAACAAAGTATGAATAGCATTCTGAGGAGAGGCGATTTAGGAGAACGTATGACAACGATCCAGGTGTGAAGCGGTTGGTTCATGGTCAGCTGGATGGATACGTGCTTGTGTGAGATGGATGAACCACTATGTTTCATAGTAGTTTTTCAACTCATGTCCATTTATTCTCTTCTGATTATTGGGAGTTTTTGGCCTTGCCGCCGACCTGCTATCGAAAAAAAATTCCTCGTGGACATGTATAACCCCTTCCAACCGGCGACCAAATCCAGCCCCACGTAGGGAGTTTTTCAATGTACGTCGTGTTCTGTTTCGGACAGTGCGGGACCTGATGGTTTGCGACGGCTCGAATTTTTTGCGTGGTTCTGTACTAGGAGCAGGCAGAGAAATGCTGTTGCCAAAGAAGCAACAGGTACGAGAAAACACTGTGCAAGCCAGGAAATTTTCCCGGACAGGATACCTTGCAGTGGGTGAACCCCTTGTACTTGAAAACTGTGAGGTGTACAGTCACACTGAGGGTTTGAGTTGGAATCCCTCGTAGACCCGGTTCCAGCTGTCATTATCAGTCATTTCGAACGGTTAAAATGAGCCCTATTTTTTGGGGTTCAAGACGCATTTATTGGCTGCAGTGGCGCGCGCGACAACGCGGTGAAAAGTTGCTAAACACTGCAGGAGTCCTTATTTGTATAA